TTTTTGTCACATATCACAATTCGATCCAATTTGCCTTCATATCTGTACTAATACAACAAAGAAACACGATCTGCAGATCAGATACTCACTTTCTACAGATCAGTCAAATCACGAGGAACCCATTTTTCATATTTTTTATGTTATTGATTTGATGCAAATGAGTCAATATTGTAGGTAGGGTAACGTTAAACCATGCCGCTAATTCCTGGGTCGTCTTCTACCATCTCCTTCAATTCAGCGTTATTCACCTGAGTGGGCTGTTCTACCTGGTTCGTTCTTCAAGTCGAAGTTTCCATTACGAAAGCGTTTAAATCAAAAATGCACGGTACGTTCATTAGTAGTCTACTCTCCAAACGCATCGTTGATATGGCGAGCCGTTTCTGATGCGTTAGTTCGAAACTCGTATGTAAGGTGGGCACTGAAAATCAGTACTGAGGTTGCATCTATCCACCACAGTGTACACTGAGGGTCCACCTATTTTCTGAAGCACGGCGTACAATCCTCAGCAACATTAAATAATAATAATAATAATTTCACACATCTCATACACGGCCGTCTGATCCCAAACTAGGCAGAGCCTGTACTATGGTAATCAGACTGCTGATAAACATACTTATATATTTCTAAATAGATACATAATATAGATAAATTACACCCAGACACAGAACAAATGATCGTGCTCATCACACAGTTATTTGTCCTGGGTGGGAATCGAACCCACATTAAAGGGTTTTAATGGTACACAGGTTGATAAGCATTAGTTGATAAGTTCTAACACAGTTATTATAAGTAAACTTTTATAGACGCGTGGCACATTGACGTGTCATGTCAGTTCTGTCAGAAATGAAAGATTGACACACTGAAAAATGTTGCCGTTATCAAACCTGACTTGATTTTTAGTTTCTTTGTGTATGTTGTTTTTAACTTTTGTTTTGATTTTTGTATGCTGTGCTTTATGTAATAAATATTATTCTATTATATTAAAAAATGACTCGGATTTTCGAAGTATCCATCTTTTATGTCTCAGCTGAATAATGAAAAACAATTAAAAATCGAAAATCGAATGCTACACAATTTTTTAAAATAGGCATCATGTGAAAAAAGTTTCACACAAAAATCTCACACGATAAAGGATTTATGTCAATTCAAAATATCTATTACTACGAAACAGCAATTTCATACTTTAACCCAATAGAGGTTAACGCGAGAAGGCCGCTGGTAAATGCTAGTCTTATGGAAAAGCATATTGCTGACTAGTGTAAGTTCTAGGCAGTTATTTTTATTAACTTATTAAGAAATATTGCCACTTTAACAAAATAACCACAAAAACACACTCCATTGAACACTTACCACAGTTTCATTAAAGAAAAATGCCGGTTTGGTTATTGGAAAAACGCAACGGAATATGAAATCAAATGACCATTGCTAACGAGTACGAGATATTGGGCAACGAATACTTCGAGAAATGTTTAGAGCTTTTTAGTACATTTTAAATTTTATTAAGAACAAGACGTATTATAGTGTGATGATACCTCAAATAACAGTAGTTACATAAAGTGCAACATAAAGGTTCCCATTTAGGTCAATTTTTGTCTGACCGCACAGAATACTAATAGTAGTATAAAAGTGCCCAAACTATTTAGTATTTCTAAAACAAACTCAGTTTCAGGCTCGCATAAAACCTCACAAGTTTTAATTATGAATCGCACACTGCCACGTTCGCACACATGAATGTGCGCACAGACGCACACAAGCACGCATAAAAAAAAAACAATATTCTGTAGTAGTCACGGCATACATCTTATGGTAAAAGGGAAAAAAACAAAGAATACATTTTATATGATTAGGTTCACAATTTTTGAGGCTTACAACTTTTGACCTGTTGTACGTGCAATACAAGGCGATGTCATATATCCTTGACAACGTTATCTGTGGTAATGGTGATGACGTGAGGCTGACGTGGTGATCACTATTATTTTAAGTTATTTATGGTACCTAAGAGAAGAAAACTACCTATTGTACGTAACTAAGCAGGCCTCTCAACTACATCGATAACTTACGTTGATGAGCGTTGAACGCTGTTTCCCTGAAAATAGGTAGACCCTTAGCATTTACTGTGATGGACATGTCCCTGTCCCAGTACTGATATTCAGTGCCCACCATTTTAAGCCTATAATTGATTTGAGGGACGCCATCAGCAATGGTGTCCATTAATTGCATTTATAGTCAAGATTGGACCCCATCGTTAGTTTAAACATACGGTATGGGTTATTTTAATGAATTATGGGGTTTAATAGGTGAAACTAATTTAGTAAGGCTTTTGAGTTACATCAGAGTAGGTTCCGAGTTGAATGCTGTACGATTTCTCTGAAAGGGATTTTGGTTAAGTAAGGGCTTAAGTGGTCAAATTGCAGAAGGGAACCCACAGATGTTAGATCATTAATCACGTCAATTACTTAGGTGCCGGACTATTTGTTTACACGACCATATTTAAGAAAGTTCTAGTTTGTTAAGAAATTAATTATATTTACTTAGAGAGACTGCATTGCGATTCAAATAACTTGCTTTAAAGGTAAGGTACCTTTTAAATTTGTTTATAAAAATGTTATAGACGGCTCTGTTGGTTAAATAGTTAGTGACCCTGACTGCTTATCTGGAGGTCATGGGTTCAATTCCCACCCAGGACAAATGATTGTGTGGTAAGCACGATCATTTGTTCTGTGTTTGGATGTAATTTGTCTATAATTTGCATGAATTTAGAAATATTTTAGTGTATTTATCAGCAGTTTGATTTTCATAGAACCGGCCCTGTTTAGTTTAGCATCAGACTGCCGTATGTGAATGATATCTGACACACAATGTCATCTAGTTTCAAATTAAGCAGACCTTGTATCATAAAAACTAGATTCATCATCATCATCATCAACAGCCCTTAACAGTCCACTGCTGAACATAGACCTCTCCTTACATTGGAGTTTTTGGAAAAAAAAAATGCTGGATTGATAGATGGATTACTTATGTACTATTTTTTTATAAATACATACATATTATACATAGAAAGCAGTCAAACTCCGAAACAAATATTTTGCAGATCATACAAATATTTGGTCCGACTCGGGAATTGAACCCGAAACCTTAGCGCAGCATTCGTATACGCTACCACTGCACCACCGAGGCAGTCAAATAGATGTGAAATGTTTATAACATCTGTCCATGCTGGAGGAAACCCCATCTCCATCACTGGGATAATTGGCGCTCTACCACTGTGCGCTTTTCAAAACACTTTTTGTCTCGCATAACCAATCTGTGGAACAAATTATCGTCTGCGGTATTTACTAACCGATACGACCTTCAAACCTGTGAGAAAAGAGCGTACTCCTTCCTAAAAGGCCGACAACACGCTTATGACTCCTGAGTTGCAGACGTTCATGGGCGGCGGTAGTCTCTTTCCACCAAGTGACCCGTTTGCTAGTTTGCCCCCTCTACTACAAAAAAAAAGGATTAGATCATAAATCAGTTCAGTTCTGAATTCTAACGATAATGAGTGTATTATTAACTTTAGTTCTGCTGGCAGTGTGACAATCGCACAATAAACGTTTTCACATTTAAATTCTATAGACAAAGCTTCCCAACACTAGTCTATTCGGCCGCGCTCCACCAGAGCCTCAATCCTGCTATTTTATGTTAATGTACAAGCCAATTTCATTACATTAACACACTATTCAGATGCCATTGAGGTACTATTGACATCGGTCAACATATCTGTATTCTACTAACGTAAATCCACAGTGTCAATAGACTGTCGATGTAGTGACAATGGCTCATCAATGGTAATATTAAGTAAATCTAATATTTCATTTCGTTACAAATTTAAAATGTACCATTTACCAAACTAATACAAAAAACATTGATGACGTTTTACATTAGTGTGGCAACTTTGTATCTGTGACAAGTCATCGGGATACTATTGGTCTTCCATAGTTAGTAGATTATGAAAAGTGCAAAACTATTCCGACGACATTCAATTGATACGATATTAAAATAGCAGAATTGATGCCCAGGTATGATTACCGAACTTGATCGGAAGATCTTTCGCAGTAAAGAAAGAAAGTTAGAGAAAACCATTTAATATTGACTAAAAGAAGTGGTAGATGCATACATTTTCGTGTAAGTACATTGGTTGTCAAGAAAAGGTTAACCTGTTCACCGGTTTGATGTACTTTAGCATGACAAACTAAAACGGGGTTGTTTTCTAAACCAAAATAATATTATTTTAAATTATGAAAACGATATGTGCAACCTAGTAAATACTTTTGCTTAAAGTGTTTTGATCTACAGGATTCCGGTAAAAAAACAAATCGCCCTACCCAACTTTTAATAAATTTTCATAATCATTCATTTCTGAAACTATTTTCCGAATAAAGGCTTCAATAAGGGGATAAAATATTTTTTTTTTTATTGTTTCATCATCATCAGCATTATACATATTTATTGTACATCGCTACAGTATATATTTTGTACAGACATGGAAGTACATTTACGTTCGGTATTACCTACAGTCGGCGGTCTTCGCTCACGCCGATCTCTTTTTCGCCGATTTTGGGTACCATTTTCTTCGTAAGTTTCGATCAACTTTCGGACATTTAAGAAAGTACTTTTCCACGAAATAATTCTGTTCAACTAAATTAAAAAGAATAAAATAATTAAGTAGAAAGTAGGTTTCCTCCTTTCTAAGGAGAGGCCTATGTCCAGCAGTGGACTGTTATAAGCTGTTGATAATGAAATAGGTAGATATCAATTAGAGTTATACCAATAATTGTTAATTGATTTCAAATTTTATGTTCTTTTTTTTTTGACTCATTAATGCTTAAATAAAAGCTTGTTTTAATAAAATTCGTTTTTCAAGTTTTCTCATTCACGCCTTAAATGCCTCATATTTTTATTTTGCCTCGATTCGTTACATATTAACGTTATGTGTTGGGGCACATAACGTTAACGTTATGTACCCCCTTTTTACGGTGACGTTAAGATGCCTCAATGAAGATGATATAAAGCGTCTTATTCCGAGGAATTATTTACGCTTTTCGGGGCTGCATTACCTTTTTATAAGCCATTAAAATATATATAAACAATAATATGCAAATATAAAATATGAACCGAGTTATTTTATCGCGTTTTGGGTTTCAATTGAATTTCATTACCCGACATTTCTTTTATCTTTCTTAAAAGATAACTCTCTCACTAGGAATATATCCTGTCTCGCGGGGAACTTCACAAACATACATGAAATGGGCACAAAGAACCTAGAGTTGGATCAACAATTTTGTGGACACAAAGTGTTGTACCATGTAGGGCTTCATTCATTCATTCAGCGGAATTTTTTGGTATTGGTATTGGTTGTGGGCTTCGGTTTCCGCATTTAGACTCAAGAGTGGTCCTTTATGCGTTGAGGACTGGTTACCTAGGTTCTTCCAGAAGCGCAGAAGCCTCCTGGGGCATTCACAGGCTTCTAGGAAGCGGCGAGGTGACCTTAAACCACTACACCTTCCGTACAGTCAACACTATTATGCCGGTCGGCCAATGGGTTTCAAAGGCTTTCCTATGATTACTTAGGCTTTATATGAATTCTTGGCTGTATATAATTATACCTCCTTCAAGATTCAAAGATTGTGAGTTTTAAAAAATAAAACCATTGTAAATATCTGACGTTAGATTGAAATATTAGTGTTCGATTTGAAAAATGTCATGCAGTTGTCATTACTATGATGAACTTGATGTCCTAATCTTCAGCGACATCAGTTTTTGTGAATTATTTACTTCAAGTAGTATAGAAAATTTATTAAGTAAGTTTTTAGTATTTATTTATTTAGTATATAAGTGGCTACTTAAGAATTTTGGTTGTTTTTACGCACGCGATATCCACTGCAGTGGGTATATTACGAGATTATAGTTTTAAACTGAGTGGTTTCCCACTACGTCCGATGAGAATCCGATCCGAATCCGTGAAAATACGATCCGAAGTAGTAGAAGAACTATTTCTATGATAGTTTACGCACTAGATCTGGCTTCTGTCATCCGATTTATTTCAGTTATCTGTAGTGGTGGATTTACATATTTGAGGCAATAACAGCAATAGGTAATTACACACGAAACTGGAGACTTGGTAAAGACTTTTTATATTAAAAGTGCACATGAAGATTTTTTTCACGTAGGTATAGGTATATACGTGTACTGTATACTGTCGCATCTTCCGATAAAAATAGTAGTATAAATATAAATTGGCACACCCATGTTGCTAGTGTCAGCCAGAGAGTTACAGGAACCTTGCGGGCGTTATATCGATTCAAAAACTTTTTACCTTCCGAGATTAAGCGATGTTGGTACAGAACTTAATTTTGCCCTGTGTGTGCTACTACGGCCTGAATGCAAATCTTCTCAACAAAAACGACCGACTTCTGAACAACTGCATTCGATTCATTTTTAATCTTCGTAAATATGATCATATTTCCTCCTTTCGTCTTAAATTAAATTGGCTCCCAATTCGTCAGCGTCGTCACCTGTGCACACTAACGACTCCCTAGACCATTCACTTGACGTCCTCCTTTCAGTTTGTGTTCTAATCATAACAGAACCCTTCGCTCTACAAATAATCTTCTTCTGTTATGCCCTTCCCACACTTCTGCGTGTGTTCATTCTTGCTTTTTCATTGAATCTGTATTTCTCTGGAATGCTCTTCCCCAAGAAATCAGAATGACAACCAGTCGTTATTCGTTTAGGGTGAAGGTTCGAGCTCTCCTTATCCAGAATATAGCGGAATCATCACAAATATGATACTTTACAAATTATAGTATTTATGTATGTGTGTAAATATAATATTTATATATGTATGTATTGTGAATGTATGTATTGTTGTATGTATACGTTGTTATATTTATATTATTTCACTGGTTTATTTTACTTCTTCTCTTCTCCTTCTGTGCGAGACAGTACTTCTTAATATTTAGTTATTTTTACATTCACTTTAAAATTCTCAAGCAAAGTGTAGTGCACCCACTCATTCATTTCCATACCACCCTACGGTAGACTGGTACAGAATGCCTATGGCATTAAGTCCGCCATTGTACATTTTGTGGATTAAGGTATGAAATAAATAATTACAAGGAATTGGACGCGATGACTACTTTGTCCGTGTAGTGACGGATTAAGAACACGGAATGTCACTACCCCAATTCATCCCGTGGGTGTCGTAAGAGCCGACTAAGGGCGCAAAACAACGCAGGACACCAGCACTGCAAAAAGAAGGAAAACTTGACACAAAACCTATACCAACCCGTCTGGCCAGCGTGGTATAGTAGGCCAAAACCTCCTTTCTATGAGAGGCCTATGTCCAGGAGTGGACTATTAAAGGCTGTTGATGATTTTGTTGATGATGATGACTACTTTGTTTCGTTATCAAATTCTTCTCTAAATTAGTTGATTTCAAATAGTCTGTCAAAGGTTTTAGTGGTTTTAATTCATGATATTTTAATTTTGTACTCCAGGAGTATGTGGTGGTTAAAACCAGTACAGCAGATCCGTCGGGCGCATTCCCGCCTGTACTGTTTGTTCGATCCTCTCGACCATGTGACAGGAATAGAAAAACGAGAGCTGTTGGCTCATTTGGCCGGTGATTGTGATCCTTTTCGAATGAGGCCCATCAAGAAAGGTGTGTAATCTCAGCTGATTTTAGCAAAATTAATGTTATTAGAAAGATTTATTACATTTTTAGAGAGCTGTAGTTTCTTGTGATTTTTTTATGGCAATGAGCATTCGAGTCACCGCCCATGGGCACCTACTACTCAAGAGGTTCAATTTCCCTCTTCCTAGAATTAAGTAGAGGGCTGCTTGGGGCTACTGTGTGATGAGATACTACGCTGATATTCTGCTCGGACTGATAACATCAATCAACAGCCCATTGCCGACCACTGCTGAACGAAGGCCTCCCCTATACGGTGACTTGAAGAAAGTGGTTAGCAGGGGATGGATGCATACTGACATGACCGGGATAAATATACTTAAAGACCTCACCTCTGGCTTGTGAGTCAGAAGAACTAACCACAAAAAACTGCATTCAGATACTAAAAATAAATATGACTTCTTATCTTTAACAGGTCCTGGAACACGCGAGCGTCCCAACCTGATTCCCTCATCAAACCCGAGTCGTCTGTTGTGTTGTAGTTGCGACCCTTATGACATGCATGTGGAATTTATATGGCTGCATCAGGGCTGCCCCAAGCGTTGTGGCTGTGGTTATTGGTTTGAATTGTGTCCTGTTGCGCCGTTGTAATATTTTGACCTGTTTTTGAACATATGGTGTAAACTTATGAGGTAGACCATGTGTTTGTGTATTTTAATAATTAAAATGCAATAAATACTGTTACTTTAACTTTGCTTTGTTTTTTTTCATTAAACAGTGTGGTTAATTTTTATTGAGAAAAAATACGGATGACTGGGGAACAGTAAAACCTTTTTTTTTTGTTATGGTTTAAAATCTCTTCGGATCTTCTGATTCTTGGTGACTCAGCAGCCAGGGGTATGTGGTGATTAATTAAGTCTTCCCCGAAACGACACCTAGCCTATACTGCACTCACATATGTAGTTCTCTTTAACATTGTATACGGACTTAAAAAAACATAAGATTAAAATAAATTTGGAACTATACAATTTATTTGGAACTCAATATTATATAATCAGTAAAAGTTATAAGAAAGTACAGGAGGCTCGAAAGCGTACTGAATGGCTTTGAAAGAAGGCTGGTAGGACTTGGCGGTGGCGCTGACGTGTCCCCCTTTTCTTTTTTTTTGTCAGTGCGGAAATCCCTTTGGATACCACCCACCGATGGTTATGTCGGACATGAACGGACCGAAAAACCGCACGCCGGCTTGGGTACCAGTATCCCGGGAACCAGGTGTACCCTAGGAAGGAAATCCCTGGAACCCCGAGGGACCCCGGACCATCTACGTCTTAAAGATGACACCCTCTGGAAACCCCCTGTGGGAACCACGGTATTCCCCTTCTACAACCTAAAAGCCAACCCGGCCTGCGCTCATGGAGGACGGAGGTCGTTTTGCGACGTGCCCCCCTATAAAAAGAAGAATTCAATTAAATATAAATTATAATTATTGCACACCAACACAAAGGTACAAGACCAGTAATAAGAGTTTGTAATTCTAGAACATATTAATATATTTTACTCTATAATGTGTTTACCAAGAAAGAAATATTAATTAAATTGTTGTAATTTCAAGTAATAATTAAGATACGAACGTGTTAAAAAAGTGAATTTAGCTAGCTTCAACTTTTCTCAATGTCAATGATTAAAAAGTAATATTTAAAAATATCAATCTTGAACATATTGTCTTTACGTATTTTTTTAATCTGTGCCTCTAAATCAATAATGTCAAAATGAAGTTTTTTGTCGTTTTGGCTATACAAAATTTCTTTACGCCCATTTAAAAACTTTTACAATGGACGAAAATGATCTCGCAAATCTAGACTTGGACTTTAAAAGATACTTACAGTTACTAAGACCATATTTAATGCACTTGGCTAACGAGAATGTGGTCAAACTCTGTGATACCTGGATTCAAAGGCTATCAGATTGCAAAGATGATGAAAAAGTATTAAGAAATAAATATATATTTTTATTGTGCTACCAGCTTGCTAGAGGTATTTTTGATAAACCTTTTTTAAGCCATCCACCGTCAAAACTGCAGGATTTGAGTGATGATCTTAATAGTGACGACTCCTCGTCTGAAGTAGAAGATCTAGTTAAGGAGAAACCTAAAACGAGAGTTTTATATAACAGTAAAAACTTAACGGTTTCCGAATCTGATTACTTATCACAAGACGATGATAAAACAGGGAATGAAAATGCAAATAATCATGAGAAATATGAGAAAAGAGATACAACGTTCGGTCCTCGACACTCTCAGACAATAATTTGTTACCGTTGTCCAGAGTTGCAAACAAGTGATCACAAGGTGCAAGGAGATGAGTATGAACTTAGAGCAAATAATCTAATAAAGAAACTGAGAGAAATTAAAATGCAAAATTTATTATTAAACAGAGAACTAACGTCTTTAAGAGAAGAATCTAAATGTGCACATGTCCTTACTGAAGGTTTAGTTAATAAAGTTGATATCGCCACGAGTCCTATTGTACACAGGAATGACAGTAGCGCAACTTTAAATTCATTACGACATCAATTACAAGAAATACAAGATTCCAGAAATGTCTTAATTGAGACTATAAGTAATTTACAAAACCAGATAGATAATTTCAATGAACTCAAAAGAAATGAAATTGATGACATTGAAGCTAAACATAAGTTGGAACTGATTAAAGTAAGAACTGATGCTAGGGACGAGACAAAATTGATTTACGATAAGAAATTTGAAGAACTTAAACAGAGTTACGAAAATACCATTGCAAAAATACAACAAACGGCTGAACATGAAATAAATGCCGTAACCAAAACAAAAGATGAAATAATTTCAGAGAAGAACAAACTTTTAGATAGTAAAGATAAAAGTATAGCTGAACTAACGAATCAAATAGAGGCTCAAAAAACGACAGTTCACTCAATGATAACCCAGTTTATAGAAAAGTCTTCAGAGGATGTGTCTTGTCAAGGATTAAGAATAAAAAATCAATTATTGGAAAAACGCTTGAATAAGATTGAAAAGTCTAAACTTAAATGTACCAAAATTTTTGACTCGAAGTTATCACAATTGCAACGTGATAAGCATTTGGCAGAATGTTCCTTGCAGCTTCAGCTAGTTAGGCAAAGAGCTCAAATAGTCAGTGAAATATCTGATGACAACCAAACTGAACTGAATACATCGCTTGACAAACTCGAAAGTAAATATAAAGATATTGTAGCTAACATTCAAGCTACGGCAATACAAAGAAGAATACAAGACCAGAGAGCATTAGAATGTCTCATGCAGACAGTTTGTGGATTTGATGGACAGAATCAATACTCCAATCCACTACGAAATCCTAATCAAAGTTATGAATCTGAAAGCACATCTTTTGCACGTAATAATAGAGTTGGAAATGTAGCCATGGGAGCCAAATCATTTGGTGAAGACAGTGTTATGCCTGGTTTTTGCCTTAACGGAGATAGAATGGGTGAATTATTCGAGAGGGTGCACATACCTCAGCGAGATAACTGCAACGCAGAAGCAAGGTGAACTTTTAAGTCTTCTCTTTGTTCTTTTGGTTTTGCAGGTGTAATTAAAAATTCTCTATGAAATTCTGTTTTTCCTTATTTTGTAAATGTTATTTAGGATTGTGTGGCAATTTTTTATGAGACACCAGATACGTATTACCCTACTTGCACCGAATTGTACGTGGTATATTATCTATTATTAATGTTTGTTCCCTCGTCCTGTCAGCTGTCGCCGTTCAGATTCTCATCAAGATTTAATAATATTAAAATTAATAGACAAACAAAATGTGAACTTGTTTTTACTAAAATTAATACCAGAACTTCAATGTGATCAAAGCTTTCTCCGATACCCGCTATAGCTCTAGTCTTCTACACGCTGACGGCTCTGGTTGTCTCAATCAGAGGTGTAGATATTAGAAATGTTTTATTTAACAAATTTATTATACTTGTTTCTCTGGCGAATGTAAAAGCTTGCATAAATGATCTTTAATTATCCAATCACGCTCAAATCAATAAACATATCTGGATTTTGCGAAATTTGGCAGAGATAGAGATCATACCTTCAATTAAAAAATTAATTGACTACTTTTAATCCTGCAATTTCCATTTTTCATATCGGTATATGTATATTTCTCAAACCAAACCACAGCCGCAAATTTCTTTTGCCCCGCACAACCAATCTGTGGAACGGGTTATCGTCTGCGGTATTTCCGGACCGCTACGACCTTTGCCTGTGCCTGACCTGGCCGGCAACGCGTTTTTGACTCCTGAGTTGCAGACGTTCATGGGCGGCGATGGTCACTTTCCATCAGGTGACCCGTCTGCTTGTCTGCCCCCTCTAACATAAAAAAAACCTCTTTCTTTTAAGGCAACTATAAGAAGATGCAGAAAGTGTAATCTCATCTTTCCCGTTTTTTTTTGTTCCGCCGCGTTACCCTTTTTTTTTTCGTGCGGAAATCCTATCGGATACCAGCTATCGGTGGCATTTTCGACTCGAACCGACTAAAACCGCACGCCGTCTCGGGTACTAATAGCCGGTGAACCAGGTATACCCTAGAAAGGAAGTCCCTGGTGCCCGCCGCGTTACCCTGATTTTAACAAGTATGGTATGAAAACGGATACCAGACATTGCAAGCAGTACTATATATTTGTTCTGAAAAGTTAACCAGATCTTCATATTCATCATAAGCAAGACAATGGGATTCGGCAGCGTGTGAGGTTGCTGATTTGTGAGCTAATAAATAATTAGTGCAATCAAAATACCGTTACTTAATTATGAATACATGACAGTATACGTACACCGGTGCTCCTGTTAAACCTGGTTGAATCGTCTGGTAGTTTCAACGCATTTAATACCTGTTTAGATGTGACAATAATTTAGTTTGTCGATCGATCGATAGATGGCGTGTCACACTAATTCTGAATCGCGATATACATAGTTTGGTTCACATGGCGACGTAAGATAATAGACCAGAGATTTATTGTTAATAAACCCTTCAAGGTACATGTATTGGTTCTATATTTGTGTAAATATATACAGTATAGTGCGATACGGTGGTTTTATTCAAATCACCCCAGTGACGCGACAGTGGTGTCATTAAGTGCGCCTTGGGTACAGTACCTATTATATGATAGCTTTAACTTCTTCTCCAATACACAAACATTTAAAAGTAAGTTACTGTTAATACTAACAACAAACTAACAATATATGCATAAGTTCTCCTCCAAGCCTTTCCTGAACTAGGTTGGAATTGGCTTTAAGTCTACTGCGATACGGCTGAACTTCGATTTTTAGGCGGAGCGACCGCCATCAGACCTCCATAACCCAATTACTAGGCGATATCGAAGTTCTGTAGAATGATTGTTGTCGAACTTTTTAGGGTTCTAGCTACCCGTAACGATGGCCACAGATGTTTAAATGGCAACCGGGACCGACGGCTTAACCTGCTCTCCGAGGCACGGAGGAATGTCTCAATGTGTTAAGAGTGGTCACCCATCTATACACTGACCTGACTAGTATCCCTTAACTTTGCAATGTGTTAACCTACTCGATTACTATTTAACCTCGAGCCCCTGAGCCCCGAATTTATGCATAAGTACACATCTATACTAATATTATAAAGCTGAAGAGTTTGTTTGTTTGTTTGTTTGTTTGTTTGTTTGTTTGAACGCGATAATCTCAGGAACTACTGGTCCGATTTAAAAAAATCTTTCAGTGTTAGATAGCCCATTTATCTAGGAAGGCTATAGGCTATATATCATCACGCTAAGACCAATAGGAGCGGAGCACCAATGAAGAATGTTTCAAAAACGGAGAAAATTTATTACTATTGAGAGACGCAGACGAAGTTGCGCGGGTCAGCTAGTAGATATATAAATGTGTTTACTATATACAAAATGAAAAGCGGTTGTAACCGCAAACCTTGAAACGACCGCACTGAGAAAATGTTTTAAACCGACCGTATAAATGACGGGGTGAGCACTAACGTTAATATAATATAACTGCTCGTGTCTACTTGTGTATATGTATGTGATATGTGGTATGATGCTGAAGATGCCCTCTGAGAGAGGGCTTCGGTGGGCTGCTAATTTACAGTCCAAAGTGACCTATCTATTTTGTATAATTTGTAGAAATGTTAAGAGCCTTATATAATTCATAGAGAATATGGAGGCGACAGGTATGTTTTATCCCTTCTATGTTAATAGTTCAATTTCCATCCTTAGAATCGCTATGGTTCAAAGAGTTATTATGTTGTACATGCATTAAGATTAACATATTCATTCAGTAAAAAAAATATTTATTTTATAGTCTTTTTTGAAATTCTAAAGTAATAAATAGTTTTCTGCGTTCTCTATCATCTGTATTATGGAGACTGCTCCGAAGAGTTGTTTGGACTAATACTGGCCCCAGCTTTCCGGCATCGTCCCATGCAGCAAAACATCCATCCCTATCACTTTGATGATACTTGGTAGACACCAAAGTGCGGTTTTTAAGATTATTTTTACCTCACACAACCGACCGATATGACCTTCAAACTTTCAAGCTAAGACTGTACTCCTTACTTAACGTCCGACAACACGCTTAGGACTCTTGGGTTGCAAGTGTTTGTTGTCCGTGTAGTGACGGATTAAGAATACGTATTGTCACTACCCCAATTCATCCCGTGGGTGTCGTAAGAGCCGACTAAGGGCGCGAAACAACGCAGGACTCCAGCACTGCAAAAAGAAGGAAAACTTGACACAAACCCCATACCAACCCGTCTGGCCAGCGTGGAATAGTAGGTCAGAACCTCCTTTCTAAGAAGAGGCCTATGTCCAGCAGTGGACTATTAAAGGCTGTTGATGTGATGATGTAGGGGCGGCGGTAATCACTTTTAAGTTTGCTTACAACGCTTACATTCCACAATCTATCGGTATTAGTAACCTTTTCGTAATTTTGCCCTTCTTTATATCTTTCCCTACGCTTGACTGTTATCTATCTAAAGTTCATCATCTAATATCTAAAGTCTAATCTCTCTCTTAATTTAAGAGCCAAGCCCTTGTCGGTGGAGCAATCGTCACTCCTCTCTATTTCCTGCGATCTGTTTGACCACCTCATAGGCCACGACTTCCACTTTCTCCTTCACTTGCTGTATGTATGTTGATGAAGCCGTTCTCGTTTTCTCTTGCCTTCTATTTTTCCTTCCTGTATTATTCTGAAGAAGTTGTGGTTTCTTATCAGGGGGCCAACCATTTTGCCTCTTCTATTTTCAATGGTATTCAGCAATTGCCGCTCTTCGCTCACCATTAGGAGAAAATAAATATTAAAGTCTAATATGGAGATTATACTGCAGTCTTCTTAGAAATAATCTCATCCCCTGTAACGTAAATGGAACTTAAATTATAGTCGACAATATGTGGTCACTACAAACACATCTGTTGTGTGGGCGTGAGTGTATGTATGTACTATGTATGTAATGAATATGTTTTTGAAGTAAATTCTCCAGCAGTGAAAACATTTCCAGTTTCATGTTTTCAAAACAGAAAAAAAGAAAAAGAAAATTTTTAAAGAGTGTACTCCTTCCCGAAAGCCTGAGTTGCAGACGTTCATGGACGGCGATGGTCACTGTCCATCAGGTGACTCGTCTGCTCGTCTGCTTCCTTTGACAAAAAAAAAAATCGTTCTGCAAAATCAAATGTCACTCACATATTAAAAGCATACAAATTACTAAACTTGTTTGTATTTAATTCAAGCTTTTGCCCGCGGCTCCGCCCGTGTAAAAGTTAGCTATCGCGGTGAAAAGTAGCTTATGTCATTCCTCAAGAATCAAAGTATCTTGATGCCAAATTTCATCACAATCGGTGCAGTGGTAATTCGTACCCTATACAAACTTCCACCCCCTTTTCCCTTAACGGGACGATCTCTGTACCTAATTTCAACTAATTTGGTTCAGCGATTAACAATCGGTACAGCGGTTTAAGCGTGAATAGGTAACAGACAGACAGGCAGAAAGACAGACAGACACGCTTTCGTATTTATAATATTATTATGGATTTTATTTTTTTAAAGTTATGAAGTTGATTTAAAGTTTTCTCTTCCGACATTTTTCAGAAGTGTAAATGTACTCAAGTAACCCTTATTACTTTACTTTATTGAACTTAATATCTTAGTTTAGTTTTAGATAAGTTTAACCGTTCTGGTTTGATTCCCACCCAGAACAAATAATTGTGTGATGAGCACGATGATTTGTTCTGCGTCTGGATGTAAATTATCTATAATATGTACGTTTATCTGCAGTCTGGTTACATAGCACAGGCTCTGTCTAGTTTGGAATCATACGTCCGTTGTGATGTGTGAAGTTATGATTATTATTGAGCAATAAACATCCTTCCACAGTTTCGCTTTCATAATAGACTAATAGAAGTCACAGAAAACTAGTGTTAAGCAGTTCTTTCGTTGTTAGTCACCGAGTTAGTGAGGTTACCGGAGCCCAAACCTGAACTTTCTCTGAGTTTTGGACTGAAAAAGTGGCAACGCAGCTT